TATCACTCCAGCATGGCAGAAACCAACACAACCTTGAAAAGCAATCTTCCTCCAAGTAAAAAATTAATTAAGAAAGAGAAAGATATCACTCGACCTCTACCAGAATGGCTAAAAAGACAATGCCAAGTGTTTGCAGGAATAAGGAAAAACTGGAATTCTCATACACTGCCAGTGGGATTATAAATTGGGTTTGTCTCCTGTGGTAACCACCAGCACCTACTAAAGCTACACACAGCTGACAAGAAAGTTCACTGATCTAGACTCCCAATTCTGGAAGACAGATCTGAAGAAGAGAAACAATGCGACAAAGGCAGAGGACATATGGATAATATGAAGGAGTGGCTAAGAGAAAAGTAGAATAGAATGACAAAGACTAATATTTCTAATTTGAATTTTATAAGTAAATAATAGAAACAATGGGAAAGAAGGAAATTTTTGAAAATAAAATAGCTAAGACTGTTCTCATATTGACAGTTTTCAGATTCAGGAGTCAAAATGAATCCCGGACAAATAAAACTCATACCTACACCCATCAAGCTATAAAAGAACACTTTAAATCATCTGTACTTTTTTCCTAATTGATATGTGAAATATTTTAAATATCCTGGAAAATGATCCTTGGAAGTTATGATTGTGGCAGTATATAGTTTGTTTTCCCACATGCTTCACAGTCAGTCTCTTTTAACAAATCCAGTTTTTTAACTCTAATGTAGCCAAATTTGTCAATCCCTTCTTCTTAAGTGTGGTGATTTTTGTGAGTGGGAAAAAAAACTTTCTTAACCAAAAGATTGATAGAGGTAATTTTCTATACTTATTTCTAAAATTATCATGTTTTTCTTTAAACATTTTGGTATTTGATCCACTTGGATTTAATTTCATTATTTTATAGGGATAACCACTTTTCCCAGAACCACCTGCAATGCCATCTCTATCATCAATTAAGTTTTCACACAGACATGGGTCTGTTTCTAAACTCTCCACTCTGTTCCAGTGGTTTATTTGTCCATCCTTGCCCCAATACCACATGAAATTACTAATACAACTATACAGTATACAGTATAGATTGACACCTGGTAGTAGAAGCTTCCCAACTTACTCTTTGTCAAGATCATCTTAGTATTCTTAGCCTTTTGCTCTTGCATTTAAATTATAGAATTAGCCTGGCAAATTCATGAAAACCTGCTTAAGTGGAATTACAATGCATTATAGATCAATTTGAAAAAACTGGCATCTCAACACTATTGAATATACCCATGTTCAATAGTACATAAATATGGATATATTCATAAATATTTACATGAATATGGTATATTTATTTTTCTTATCTTAGTTCAATGACTAGGACTTCCAGTACAATGCTGAATAGAAGATATGATTGCAGGCTTTGTCCTTTCCTCTTTTAAAGGTCCATTTTTCTTATATTTCACCACTGAGTGTGATGTTTGCATAGACTTTTAGTAACCAACTTTCACCAGGTTGAGAAAGTTCCTTTTTATTTCTAACTTGCTAAAATCTGAATGTCAGGAATTTCCCTGGTGATCCAGTGGTTAAGAATCTGCCTTGCAACGCAGGGGACATGGGTTCAATCCCTGATAGGGGAACTAAGATCTCACATTCCACAGAGCAACTAAGCCCTCGAACCACAACGAGATAGTCCATGCACCACAACGAAACATCATGCCTGCTGCAACTGAAACCTGATATAGTCAAAATAAAACAAATATACAAACTTAAAAAAAAAAAAAACTGAATGTCAGGGCTTCCCACGTGGCTCAGTGGTAAAGAATCCACCTGCCAGTGCAGGAGACATGGGTTCTATCCCTGATCCAGGAAGATCCCACATGCCAAGAAGCAATTAAGCCCCATGTGCCACAACTATTAAGCCTGTGCTCTAGAGCCCAGGAGCCACATCTACTGAAGCCCATGGTGCCCTAGAGCCGGTGCTCCACAGTAAGAGAAGCATCTGCAATGAGAAGCCCATGCTGCAACTAGAGAGTAGCCCCCACTTGCCGAGAATAACGAGAGCAAACACGCAGCAATGAAACCCAGCACAGCCAAAAACAAATAAACAAAAATTATTTTTAAAAATGTGAATGTCAGATTTTATTGACCTCTTGTTCTACTCCTATTGAGACGATCATAAAGTTTTTCTTCTTTGTTAATGAGGTGAATTACATTAATGAGTTTTCTACTGTATACTGTGTAAGAATACTCAATTATTCTTCAGATAGGCTCAACTTGGTTATAATATATTATCTTGATTCATACACTGCTGAATTTAATTCAAAAGGGGAAAAAAAAGGAGTAAATAAAATAAATAGTACAAGAAAAAATTCCCAGAACCGAAGGGCAAGTCTCCAGTCTGACGGGACTCTGTGTGTGTGCCCAGCACAACGAATGGCACAAAGCCGAGAGCAAACATGAATAAAGTACCGTGAGCTCAGCTGCTGCACTGCCCGACTTCAAGAGCACCATTCCTGCTGCATCTACGTAAATGGCACTCCCTGGAACTGTGCAGTTCACAGCCCTTTCCAGAGGCTATCAGAGCCAGAGCAATGACAGCCGTCTTCCTGAGACTCTCAAAAGGAAAAAACAGATCACACACACAAAAATGAGACTCAGAATGGCATCAAAATTAGGCAGGAGCCATGGCTTCTGGAAGATAAATCTACAACTTCAAAATGCTTAGTGAGGGACTTCCATGGTGGTCCAGTGGTGTAGACCCCACACTTCCACCGCAGGGGGCCATGGACTCCACCCCTGGTGGAGGAATTAAGATCCCACATGTCGTGTGGTACAGCCAAAAGGACAAAAAAAAAAAAAAAAANAAGGACAAAAAAAAAAAAATGCTAAACAAAATGCTTAGAGAAAATTATTTCCAATTTGGAAGTCTATTCTCGGGCAACTATAAATTGTGAGGGTAGAATAAAGGCATTTTAGACACACCAGAATTCGGAAAATGTGTCTCCCACATGCCCTTTTTTAGATAACTGAGGCAAAATGCTGGACGCTCTTTGGGTGGTTTCAAGCTTCGAGTCTTCCCTACTCATCCAAGTTGTGTTCAGTATCCAGCCTTACTCAGACAGCTTGCTGTGTTTAAGGGAAACTTGAATTCACCCCCCTTATCCATGGGCGGGCTTGATTAGTATAAAGCTAATTCTTCTCTTATATTGGTTCGGATACTCAGGCAAGTAAAGTCAATCAAATCACAGCACTCCCCCCAGACACAGGGACTGGTTTAGGAATCCATGTGAGATGATCTGGCCAATGACATGCAAGAAGATTGTTGTTAGGTATCTTCTGGAAAAGAAGTGTCTCCACCCCAAAAACATGACCAGAAGAAATGCCCACTCTTTCTTCAGACCAGTGGTGTGGCAATGGAAGTCTCAAGCTGCCTCAGACATTTCACAACAGAAGTTGCCCTGAGGATAAAGCCAAACACGAGGGAAACCCAGCCAAGCTTTTAGCCTAAGCCAAAGGGCCTAGGCCACTAGATCATTCCCAGCCTAAAGCCAGTCCTATCTCTGGGCTCCCAGTTCACTCAGTTAAGAAATATTCTTAACAGTTCAAGCCTCCTCAGCAGTTTTCCTGTTACCTGCAGCTGAAAGCTTTGTGGAGACTGTGGATTCAATCCAAAGAGTATACACGTGAAGGTACAGAATGAACACTCCACAGGGGTTCAGAGGACAGCTGGCTCAGACTACAGAGAGGCCAGGGACTCCCAAGAGGGGAACTCAAAAGAATGCCTGCAACAATGGAACATCTGTGGGGGGGAAAGAACTAAAGATAAAAGTCAAGACAATGCAAGGAGAAAAAAAAGTTTAAAGAACAAAAAACTCCAAGAAAAGTAAATGACTACAGAAAAAAGAAGATATAATCACAGTGTAATTCTTAGCTCTGCAGTAAATAACATTTATAAAGTCACATAATATAGTAATATAAACCTGGTTTATTGATATAATCACAACTTAAGACGACTATACTGAGAAGATGGAAGGAGAGAAGGGAGAACAGTCAGTGTAAGAACAGCCCCTATTCTGAAGGCTTCCCTGCTGGCTCAGCGGTAAAGAATCCACCTGCCAATGCAGGAGACACAGGTTCGAGCTCTGATCCAGAAAGATTCCACATGCCACAGAGCAACTGAGTCTGTGCTCTGGAGCCTGGGAGTTGCTACTATTGAAGCCCACATGCCCGAGAGCTGAAGCTCCACAAGAGAAGTCATCGCAATGAGAAGTCCGCACACTGCAACTAGAGGAGCCCCTGCTTGCCTCAACTAGAGATAAGCCCATGCAGCAACAAAGACCCAGCACAGCCAAAAATAAAGAAATAAATAAAATTATTAAAAAATAATCTATTCCTCACTTACCACAGCAAACTCAAGTAAAACATGGTTAAAAAACTCAATTAAATCATTTCTAAAACTGATGCATCAAAAAACAGCCGTGTGCACTGTTAGAACATGGAGATGTCTTCTAGAAGTTGCTAAAAAATACCAAGTGAAAGATACCAGGGGTAGGAAGAGAAGTGCTTTTTTGCTATTGCAAAAATTGCTTCTCAGGACAATATATCTGACATAATACTAGGCACATATTACACTTTTATAATATAAAATACTAAAATGTTTTGTGTAAATAAATAAAAGATGTCTGCTCAGGGGCAAAGTATGAAAGAACAATAAGAACATCAAGAATGTAGATTTATTAGGTTGGTTGGACTATAGTTACTTTAAAAAAAAGACAAAAAACAAGGGTTAGAGGGGCAGCTTTTCCCTATGACCAGAAAAAGGCTCTTCCCTGGCCCCACATATCCCCATCCCCAGGGTCCAGCAGATCTCTCGGGAGCCTAGGGCCCTCAAACAGGCCAAGCCAGAAGGAAAGGCATCATGACTCAGCCTCCTCCACACTCCAGCCTGGGCCAGAGCTGGGTGATCCATCTGCCTGGAACTTTGGCCCAAGGGGGTTCACAGTGCAAGAGGGATGGAAGGGGAGAATGTTACCTACCACAGGAGTTGCAGGTGAAGCAATCAGTATGATATAGGCTCCCCATTGCCTGGCATGCCTGCCTTGCTCCATAGATGCCAAGCCCACACTTGATGCAAATGCCTATGGAAGAAGAGGCAGGAGAGAGCAGCAGTTAGCACCATGACTGTGGACTTGAACAGCTATGCATCTGACTCCCAGTCCCCATGCTGCCCAGTCATGTGATCTGGGGCAAGGGAAATTTCCAGAGTCCTCCGTCGCCCCATTACTAACGGCTAACATGGGGGTACTAAGGGTACCATTAGGGCTTCCCTGGTGGCTCAGATGGTAAAGAATCTGCCTGCAATACAGGAGACCCAATCAATCCCTGGGTCTGGAAGATCCCCTGGAGAAGGGAATGGCTACCCACTCCAGCATTCTTGCCTGGGAAATTCCATGGACAGAGGAACCTAGCAGGCTACAGTCCATGGGGTCGCAAAGAGTCAGACATGACTGAGCGACTATCACCCACACAAACATACATACACACACACACACAAGGGTACCACCACTTAGGGTTTGCTGCTGTTGGCTGAGGATTCATAGAATTTAGCAGCGCACCTGGCAAGTCAGAGCTAAGTGACACCGTCTGTGCCATCAAAATTACAAGGACACCTTTACGACTAGAAAGTTGTTCTAAGCCCCTTCATCTTGACCTGCTATCGGACTGGGGGAAATTCCTTTCTGCTGTCTATGAACCAGAAAGAATGAAGACCACACAAAGAGAGCAGAGCCCTGACCCTCCCAACCACACCTCCCTCATTGAACGATGATATCAGTTTAATCTCTTGTTCAGTCCACACATAGATACTGATGCCCTGCATAGTTTAGGTGCCAGAGATTCTGCAAGGCACCAAATTCCCACCCCCAAGGAGCCTGTATTCCAGTGGAGGGAGACAGTCAACAACAGGTAAGTCACATCTCAGGTGGGAAAAAGTGCTATGGAGGAAAAGGCGGCTGATTAAGAGTTATGTCTGGGGGCTCCTCCCTGGCGGTCCAGTGGTTGGGACTTCGCCTTCCAGTGCAGGGGGTGTGGATTCGATTCCTGGTGGGTGAGCTAAGATCCCACATGCCTTGCCCCCCAAAAATAAAACATAAACAAAATATAAAACAGAAGCAACATTGTAACAATTTAATAAAGACGTTGAAAATGGTCCACATTAAAAAAAAAAAAAGGATATATCTAGGGACTTCCCTGACCGTCCAGTGGTTAAGACTGCACTTCTTATGCAGAGGGCACAGGTTTGATCCTCAGTCGATGAACTATGATCACACATGTCTCACAGTGTGGCCAAAACAAACAGGAATATGTCTGAGTGTGTGATTTTTAAAGTTTAAAGAGGGTGTCAGACAAGGCCCCAGTGACAAGGTGATATATGAGCAAAGGTTTCAAGGAAAAAATGGAGGGAAGCTGCTCTGCAAGGAAAACTAGGTGGACTTGGGGGCCACCCTAGTGTGGGGTGCTAAGCAGGCAAGGGAGGGGTGGTAAAGGGAGGGGTGACCAGCAATGCCAGGGCGAAGGCCAGCATGAGCTTAAGGGGCTCTCTGGCCAGCCCGCCTGGAGACCTGGACTGAAGGTGGCCAACCCAGACACCAGAGCTTCTCTCTCAGACTCACCCAAGGTCTCTCAGGCCACAAAGGGCCTAAGATGGGCCCCCTGGACTCTAAGTCCTTTGGCAGTTTCAGGACACACTGCCCTCACCCCTTCTCCCCTGCTTTCCATCACATCTCTCTGCTTAACATTTAGCATGGTTGAGCCTCTCCCACCTGAAAAAACCTCCATCAGCCACCTCATTCTCCCTCTCCCTCCAGTCAAGAAAGAAAGTTCAGTCCACACCCCGTCTTTTCCTAACGGTGAGCTCTATGGACTTCCTCTTCTGGTCTTGCCAGCCCTCCTCTCAGGTCCCCAGGATATGACCTACACCTGCCTGGCTTTCTGGTTCTCTCTTCCCAGTTCTACTGGGTATTCACTTGCTCAATCCTGGACCTCCCATGCCTAAGTCTCCCCAGGAAAGGGCCAGTCAGTGCAGATGCTCTCAAACCAGGCAGGAATGTAAAAGTGGCTGATGAGGCCCCAGGTGAACAGAGGAGAGAGCCATGGCTGGGGGAGGTCACAGCCATCGGCTCCACTGACAGCTACCAGGCCTGCTAGAGAGTCTGATTTTTCCAGAAAAGCTAGAAATCTGGATTTATATATGAAAACTTTCCACACAGAAATAAATCATCAACTTTCATGTTTTGAGAATTTGGAAGCCAAACACACCGTGTCTGTAGGTCTCCACTCGTGGCTTTACCCCATCTCCCCAGGGAAGTCCCATCTGCTCCCAACTGCTCACTCCTGCTGAGGCTCCTGGCACCCTGCCCAGCCCAGATCCCTTTCCTGAGCCACCGATCCACCTCCCAGACCACCGAAGGCCCAGAACAAAGCTCTGGGTTCCTGCTCAGGAAATGGCACTTTTGTGTAGCCAGGTTTAGGGAAGTATCCAGATCTACCCTGCCTTTCTCACCTCCAACTCTGAATCCAGTTTCTGTGTTTCCTACTATAAACTTCATTCCCTCCCCTCACTCCCACTGGTCTGATTCAGCATCATCAATTCTCATTCCACTTGCTGTTTCAACAGTCTCCTTACAGCAAACTGCAGCCAGACTTATCTTTCTAAAGTGAAAATGACCCACCCTCACACCTTCATCCTTGCCCATCAACTCTGAAAACCTGACCTTGTTTTTGTCTAAGTTACCAAAATATACAGTAAAAGGGAGAGAAGTCAACTGCCCCTGGGGAGCAGAACAGAAGGATGGGCAAGAGGAGAAGTTATAACCTTATTATTATTTGCTTTTTGGTTCTGTTTTGATTTTTTATTAATATAAGCTTGCACCACTTTAATAAAAACACACCGAGGACAGAGGCAGGCTGTTCAGGGACTAAAAGAGGGAGCTGACCAAGGCTTAGCGTGATAGGTGGTACCCTGAAGAGGTTGAAGACCACGGCTCCGTTGCCTGGTACAGCAATTGAAAAGGCGGCTGCAGCACTGTCTCGGAGCCAGACAGAGATTAGAGGAATCAGAGGTACTGGTGAGACGCAGCCTGCAGTCAGAACTGAAGACAGCCGAGCTGAGGCAGATCCAGGGTGTGGAGTAAACCCAGGATTTACCCTCAGGCAAATCCTGAAGCTGCTAGCTGGCTCGTAACAGCAGAACCTGGTCAGGAGAGATGTTCATGAAATACAGAGAAGGGCCAAGAGGTGAGTGGGTTCTAGGGCCAAGAAAAAGGGATGGACAGAGAGGAAGAAACACACTGAGGGTGAGGTTTATCAGAGGTCACTTAAGCTTATGCTACCTGCAGACTTCCTGTTGTAAAATGTTACATTATTTTCATACAAGTTGAGGCGTATGAAACTGCCGCATTTATAGCTCTAAAAGGTGGAATAAAGGCAGTAAGATACTAGCAGTTCAAGTAAATAGCTGCTCATATTTTTAAAAATCAGGAAAATGTAACCTAGATCTGACTTCTCTTAAAAAAGAAAGAGCAGGACTTCCCCCAGGAGTCTAGTAGTTAAGACTCAGTGCTACCAATGCAGAGGGTGTGGGTTCATTCTTTGGTCAGGGAATTAAGACTCCCCCATGCCGAGTGGTACCAAAAAAACCCCAAAGATTATATCATCAGTCACCTCCCACTCCCATGTGACAGCAGCTGCCCTCAGAAAGGATGACCCATTAGCCCCTTCACTTCTCCCACTACTTGCCCAGGTCTGGCCACCTCAGCTTCACACGAAAATTCAGGAGTAATGTTCACTGCAGCACTGTTTCCAATAGCCAGGACATGGAAGCTACCTAGATGTCCATCGACAGATGAATGGTTAGAGAACTGTGGTACATATATACAATGGAATATTACTCAGTCATAAAAAGGAATGAATTTGAGCCAGTTCCAATGAGGTAGATGGATCTAGAGGCTGTTATACAGAGTGAAGTAAGCCAAAAGAGAAAAACAAGTATCACATATTAACTCATATATATGGAATCTAGAAAAATGGTACTGATGAACCTATTAGAAGGGCAGGAATAGAGACGCAGACACAGAGTACAGACCTATAGACCCAGCCAGGGAAGGAGAGGGTAGAACAAACTGAAAGAGTAGCACTGAAACATGTACATTACTACATGTAGAACAGATAGATAATGGAAAGCTGCTGGATAACACAGGGAGCTCAACCTGGTGCTCTGCGACAACCTAGACAGATGCGAAGGTGTGGGGGTGGGAAGGAGGTTCAGGAGGAAGGGGACACGTGTATACCTATGGCTGACTCACACTGTTGTAAGGCAAAAACCAACACAACACTGTAAAGCAATTATCCTCCAATTAAAAATAAAAATATGTAATTAAGAAATTTAAAAACTCAGTAGTACCTTCAGAGGCCCAGAGAACACACCCTTGCCCAGGCCCTGCAGTGAGTGGGGACAGGAAAAAGGGGTAGCTTCTCCAGTAGGGAGTGCTGGAAACTTGTTCTCTTCAGAAGGCACTCAGCTTCTGCTCCTAGCACCTACCCGGTATGACAGACAATAGCTTCCGAAGTCACCACCCTGCTCCCAGGCCTTCTGACAGCAGCCACGGGACCTACCCGACCACAAATTCTCACCATGATGCTCGAAGATGAACAGGTCCCCTCCCAAAGGCAGAACAACCCTCTGGTCTACACACTCCCTTGACCACCTGACCCCTCTGGGGCTGCAGCCCTGGGAGCTTAATGGCACCGTCCACTTCCTTACTTGCTTCCTCCTGCCCACATTTTTCCTTCTGGCTAGAAGGTCCCTACTGACTAGTCATCTACAACCTCTTTCTCTCTCAAGATCCAGTTCAGGGCAGTCCAGAGCTGCCAGCTGGAATGAATGCATGAAAGACAAACCCCAGGAGGGGCCTCATTCCCAGACATGATAACCACCACCCCCTCCAAAGCCAGGTGCCTGCTTATCAGTAAAGGAGGGACGGAAGCCCCTCCCCAAGCCTCCTCTCAGAACCTCCAGCCTCAGACTCCCAAGAGTTGTCCAAAGGATGGGATCAAAGGGCCAAGGTCAGACTGGGCAAGGGAGGCTGTCAGAGACTGATGATCTTTGCAAATGATGTGAAGTAGGGTTCCCTTGGGAAACATCCCATATACACAGCCCAATCCAGTTAGACCGGCTCAGTTCCTCCCACTTAGGGTGGGCTTCCCGTCCCTCGGCCTCTACCTCCAGCCGCTACCATTATCAAAGCCTCGGGTCAGGTGGGCTCCGGTGGTATCCGGCCGGCCGCCTCCCTCCCTGCCCTGTTCACAGCCCGTACTGCTGACGGAAGGGAGACACCGGGACCGCGGAGGCCTAAAAGGGGGACTGATCACAAAGCACCGAGTACGATGAGCTGAAGCCAAGTACCGAGGGTTAAGAAGAAATTATTCGAAAATAGCTTATTCTGCCTATTAACGTGCCTTTTTCTCTCAGGAGCAACGCATCCCGATGAAGCCAGAACTCCGGGCCCGGAGACTCAGAGGCTCAGCCACTGTCCGGCACAAACCCCAGACCTGGTGGTTCGTTCACACACACACACACACACGCTAAGCCACTGTACTACACAAGCCCCAGAACTGGTGGTACACACACACACAAACACACGAACACTATCTGCGGGAACAAACGTCACCGGCTCCCCAGCCCCACGGGAGGGAGCCGCGCTTTTCGCATCCCGGCCCACCCTGCGCTCTCCTCGACCAAGCCGGCCGCCTACCCGGAGGCCGTCCTCGACCCCCGACGAGGAGAGCGGAGGCCCGGGGCCCAGGCGCGCGGGAGGCGCGGCCGAGCTCGCTCACCGAAGTAGTCCCGCGCCGTGCGCGCCTCCAGCGCCCGCTCCAGCTCTCGGGTCAGCGCCTCCAGCCGCCGCTCCGCCGCGCTCGGGCCGCCCTCCCGGCCCGGGGGCAGCTGGAGCGAAGGCAGAGCGAAAGGGGCCGGCCCGGCGGGCTCCGGGGAGCGAGCCGGCGCGGGACAGGCGCTGGGCAGGAGCAGGTCCGGGTAGGCGCCAGCCGAGCCGCGGGAGCCGAGGCTGGACACGCTGGAGCGGGCGCTGCCCACCGACGGCGGCCCGGGGCCCGCGCGCGGGTCCGAGCGGCCCGAGCGCGGGCTGCCGTGGCGCTGGTCGTAGCCGAGACTGANGGCCGCTTCCCCTCCTCCCCGCGGCCGTGCGGGGGGCGGAGGGACTCCTTTGTGGGGGCAGGAATGCGAGGAAGGAGACGGCGCTGCGGCCTCTGGAATGTGGGGGGAGTGGCGGCGGCGGAGCCGCGTTGTCCGCGCTTCGCCCGGAGCTCGGAGGGGCGCGGGGGCTGGGCTGGGCCGCCGGGCCGTGCGGCTTGGAGCTGGCCCTCGAGTGAAGGAGCGGCCAACTGTGTGTGGCGCCGCGGGGAGGGCCCGGCCTCCTTCGTGCGCCCCGACCGTCGGGCCGCTGGAAAGGTCCCGTATTCCAGCGGGCTGAGCAAGAGGCGGCTCCCCCAGTCCAGGCCAGAGAAATATGAGCAGTTGACAGACGTTTCCCACATCCTCCCCCATCTTATTTTCTAGCGCCGCCACGGTTTCAAGCGCTCGGCCGGACAAGTTTGGCCTTAGGCAGAAGCACTGCACCCGCCCACCTCAGGACACTGGAGACCACTGCGCGTCTCTGGCATTTGCGCCCGCAGCATCCCGCCTGACTTGACCCCGAGACCCCAGCCCCTCCCAGGGCCGAGCGGCTGCGCACCGGTTCCGGGTGTCCCCACCTGCTTGATAGGGAAGGCGCCTTGTACTAGGAGTTGCGGCTGGCTGGATGGAGACTGGTCTCCAAACCTGGTTACAGCGCACAAGCGCCCAAGGCCAGACGAGGCCGGAAACAGGCCTCAGGCTAAGCCACTGGGCGGGGAAGCCTCAGTTGTGACCCAAGGTTCAATCACCAAGACGTGTGAGGACTCCTCCTTTCTCCAGCACCTGCCCAGCGTGAGACACTAAGGAGATGCTACTTCTGAAAGCACATCCTGGGACCGGATGCGGCCTTGGGGGGGCGGTGGGGGAGGGGAAGGAGAGATGACTAGGGCTTTGTCCCCCAAAACACAAGCTACAAAGTCCTTGTCACACATTTGAAACAGCTTGTAGGGAAGAAAAGCAAACCATTATCTGTCAGGACCTGATGGATCCCGGAAAACAGCTAGAGTGGAAGAGTTCTCTTACTTCCAGGGGCTTCATTCCTCAGAGAATTCCAGAAAGGCAACTGCAGTGCTTCGGGGAACAGGGAGAGTGGGTAGGGACTGACCAAGGACTGGCGTAGGCTGGCCAGGGTGTCTGGCCTCAACGTTGCTGAGAAGCTGGCTGTGGCCCGTTCTCAGCTGGCAGGGGAGAAGTGTCTGACCCAGCTACTCCTCCCTCCTTCCACCTCTCAGAGCTGGGAGAATTCCAGCCCCTACTGCCCAGGCTGGGTGGCAGGGAGTCACAGGTAGGGGCAAGCCCTTTGTGGGGAGCAAAAAATCCAGAGGAGCATTCTGGTGAAAAATGATCTTCCACTCTGCGAAAGGAAAATAAATTGTCAACAATAAGGTATCCTATTCCACTGATCACATTATCTACCACCTAAAAATAGAAATATTGGCAAGACTGTGGGGAAACGTGTGTATTTTACTGGTAATGAGTGTTAAGCTGATACCTCCTGTCAAAAGAGCAATTTGGTGTTAACATCCTCACAAACAAAAACATTCTTGAAAGCAGTAATGCTCCAAGAATCTATTTCGGGCAAGTAGTCCCAACAGCAGATGACAGTGTAGGCACAACTGTTTATCACGTCATTTATGTAATCTATACAGTCCTAGAATCTCCAGCCTTTGGAGCTCAGAGGGTGCTCTCTGCCCTCCAAGGTAACTTAAGTTCCACCCTTATCTGCCCACTTAGAGCTTTCCATATTTAAATAATATATTGGAGTCCAGGGTTGGCTAAAGGACTTTCTTACTCAAATAGATAGATGACAATAACCACCGACACACTGGAACAGAAACAACCTAAAATATGTTTGCTTTCTGGCAATCTTGGTTTGGCAGCTGTTCTTGGCTGGGGGACATCCCACATCTAAGACAGGAAGCTGGTGGCAGCAAAGATGAAAAAGTTGCTGGAGTCAGTCCACTCTAGGCTCCTAATCATTATGAAAAGTGGAAAGTACTGCTGGGGTACAAGCCAACTCTGAAAATGATCAGACAAGGCAGAACAAAACCAGATATCCTCCACAATGTCTGCCCAGCCTTGAGGAAATCTGAAATAGAGACCTACACCTGTTGGCCAAAATTGGTGTCCATCACTACTGCAGTGGCAATAATACTGAATTGAACAGAACAGGTAGAAAATATTACAGAGTTCTAACAGTGGCTATCATTATTCTAAGTGATCCTGTTTAGAAACATACCAAAACAGACTGGTGAAAAGTAAATCACACAAAATTATTCTTTAATTGGCCAGAACCTGTTTAAATCAATATTCACTGTTCAACATTAAAGTA